TGCTCACCATCCGCAATCCTGGCCAGACTCCCTTCTTCCTAAAAACAACAAATGCACAAGTGCAAGTGGGCAAAAGAGAACTTCTACCAGGAAAAGCCTTGGATGTGGTGCAGAGCTGCATAAGAAAATGACCTTGAAGGGAGCCAAATTTAAATCAAGTTCCATTACTTTTTCATTTCACCTTGTAAAGAGGAACTGAGAATGAACGTGAGCAAACAGAGCATGAGTTTGACTCTTGTCCGCGTGTTTTATAAAGCTCAAAATCAGACGCTGACTTGAGAGGCTGTTTCTATTGTATTATTTTATTGTTCCTGTTTAAGCCAACATGAACAATAAAATCACCGTCTTCTGACGAATCGAATCCCAATGAGCCGATTTCATGACGGGCCTTTCATTGAGTTGAAGGACAAAGTCAAGCATCAAGGTAATCTGTCAGTTTTAATTTCTGATAATTTATATGCAAAATTTTCCTTATCATCCAAAACACTTGTCTATAGGACTTTCTGGATTAGCTGCATTAGCTTTGTAGTGAGTGTGGTTCTCAAAGATAATGATGTGTCTATCTCAGCCTACAGCAGCCTAACGTCTAAGCTCCTGAGGGTGACAGATCTTTATTTGGCAATAAAACTCTGCTGACTTATTTATTTTCCCCTCGCCCCATGAGCACAAGGAAGTAAAAAATCTATGCAGACACTCTTCCTCACACTAAGCTCACTAAAAGCCAGTTTCACCCAACCTGTTTATGCTTGCATTACAAGGTGATTTATGATCTTGTGCGTAACAGAATTTACACTGCAGGTTTTTTAAATTCACTGAGCCCTTATTTTAGCTTTTTCTTTCCTAATAGCAGCTCCATTTTGATGTCCTCAAGCTGCTCTGCTGCTATGCCAGTAAAGGATTTTTGGGAGGTTTGCAGACAGAGCGAGGCTTGGACAGGGCACTGGGTGCATTTCCGATGGTTGAGCTGCAAGGGGAACAAACTAAACATAGTTGTTGTGCTTCGGGGGGACTGAAGAACAAGGAAAAATACACTGAATAAAAACTAAGTCTCTCCCAATATCCCCTCTGAGGCAAAGCGAAGCCAAGTTTTCAACCATTCTGTGAAGTCAGGGAGGGCACAGAGGTTGTAGAGTACAGAGACGATAAAGTGGAGGAGACTTTTTCTACAGCTGTGCACCAAATATATATTTTTAAAAAACCCTCTAACCATCCACACAAAAGATTTATCCCTCTTCTTTGTTATTATACTCAAACTGTGACAAAGTCTTTCTCATACTTCTCGCCATTATTAGATTTGGATGGCTCTTTGCACATTTGGAAACTGACTCCTCGTGCTCACCCGCTCCTGGTTCATAATCTATCAACCTGCCAAGGTTCTTATGAAGTCTCCATCCTCTTTGTAAATAAACATTTCACCACCTTCACACTTGAGGGAGACTTAAATGTTTCAGCAGTTACAGTTTATCTGACAGGTCAGTAATTCACATGTGTTATTAGGAAAAGTGGTGCACCTTCAGACGAGATTGCAGATGCATCATCATCGCCTTGGTAGATGCTAGCACAGGCCAACAGTGTAAGCCAGTTGAAGTGGATTTATTGCTGCAGCATCTGGGGACTGAACATCTGTTTTACTTCTCCAGCTTTCTGATTGTGTTTAACTCGTTCTTTTTGGTCTTTGAGTGGGTCCTCGTAAGATTTTATTCTTCTTGCTTAACTACCACATGCTGGGTGAGGGATTAGCAGCATCATACTAAAAAAAAATTCTTGCTGGTTAAAAATACATTTAAATATAAACTCTTAAAAATCTGAATTTAAATATAAAAACAGTTGAAGCTTGCTTTCCTGACTGAAGTCAACTGAAAGACCACGTGTGGGTTGTTATGATCATGAGCCCTAAAATTCATGGGAGAAACGTAGTTTTAACTAAAATGTACCAATTTATTAACCAAAAATAAGCACAAAAAACCCCCAATCATGTTAGTTAAAGTGTCAGCAGTTTTTTTGGCTGTTTGACTGAAAGGTGTATGGTGTTGTATAAAATAAAACCTAAAATAACCAGGCTGAAGCCATCCAAAGAAAAAGTATTTTAAGAGTCAGCAGTTAGACTGGCCAGGTGCACTGACAAAGTTTGGCTACCAGAAACCTGCAGGCTTTCCTGGTAAAGCACTAAAAAGCACTAAACATGCCTCAGTTATACCTTTCTATACTCTCTGATCATCATCATCATCAGAGAGCAACTTGTAGACTGGAAGAGCCAGTGAAATGAACCTTTAGGATAGTAGGCAACCTGCTCAACCACCTAAGGTACAGCCATCCCTACTAGAGTGAGGGCTGCCGTTAAATAGATGTTACCACAACACCCTGACACAGAATCAAATTGTTTACAAGTTATTTAGCACCAGATTCTCGATTGGGGAGAGGTGACCATCATTCAGCCGTCCTCCAGCCCCATCACGAACAGCTGTCCTTTACCGGCAGGCCAGCTATCTGAGACAAACCGAAGATCCACAGCGATACAGTATCAATGCATCTAGACCTCTGACTTAGAGGCTTTCATTTAAGATCCCACAGATGGTAGCTTTGCATGTTTGGCTCCTCAGCCAAGTGCACGCACCAAATTTCTGATCTTAAATTGGCATTTGAAGAGTAACAAATGGGCCAGTATTTATAAAGCACCTTTCAGTTTGAGTACTCAAAATGCTTTCTACTACAAGCCTCGTTCACGTTTTTTTCTATACTTACAATAACATACTCACACAAAAGCAGTGGGGACAATTCCAACTTGAGTATCTTTCCCATGGATACGTCAAGGTACAGACTAGATAAGTTGGGACTGAACTACTGACCTTCCCGTTAGTAGATGACCTACTCAACCTTTTGAGCAACAGCTGCCCACAGAAGCAGCTAAAATGTCATTTGATGTGTCACTGCTAAAAGGAGTTGAGGGGTCACGTTAAGACTAGCCAGTCTGTTTTGTGGAACTAGCAAGCTGATAACAGTGTCCTTCAGAGTACTGGTGCTGCACAACGATGTCAAAATAGAAATCTGAAAAAAATCTTAAAAAGCGTCACTACAGGAAAAAAAATGACATAAATGACAAACTCCAACAAACGGCATCAGGTTTCAAGTGTAAATAAACTGTCAAGTAGAAGTTTTCAAAGTGTTTCCACTCATTCATTAGTAAGAAGAAGGAAAAAAAAAGCTGAATTAAGTCCAAACTCATGAATGTTATGGACATATTTGTTCCCTTTCCAATTTACACTTCATTTGCAGGTGTTTTCTTGCTCGTGCCCTCGAGCCATCACAAGCTGCTTTCATCCCAGCCCAAACCCATGTCCTTAACCTCAGCTCTGCTTCAATCATTGATGGATAACGTCCACAGCAGACTGTCTAACTGGTCATTGCATCGCGCTCCGCATCCTGATGATGTGACTTTTTAGACACTCACTATCATCTGTTTGGCGCAGGACCTGGCATTTGCACAGACGGGAAGATTTTTTCCCATGCATACTAATGTGTTCCTCAAAAACTCTCTGCTGTTTAGTTCCAGGGAATGGGCTGCTCTTTCTGGCTGCAAAAATGTGCAGGAAGTGGTTTGAAATTGTCACGCTAAGCAAAGGTTATCATGAAAGTGTTTAATAGTGCAATGCTGCTGCACACACCAGCGTCTTCTTCCCTGTGTTTCTACCTCTTACTAATTTTTCTGCATCCACTCTTTAGACCATCTCATTCTTACAATTTGGCTACGTCTCCGATGATACGCCTCTTTCTACATCCAGCATTCTTGCTGCTCCTTGCTTCTCCCCCTCAGTAAGGTCAATGGTTTCAGTGGAGAAACCCAAACATGACAGTCCCCTGAAACCCTATCAGTTATCTGTTCATTTGTGTAGACACAGACCGTTGGGTCCAAAGTCAACCTTCTCTTATTAGGATTCGGTTGTAGCCTGAAGATGTTTTCTTTTCTCCTCGTTTTTGCTGTTGATACGCAGGATGTGGGGCTTTTCAAGGGCACTCTTTAATTGAGAATCAAAGAGTCAGAAAGATAATCAATTTAAGACAACACAGAGCAGACGCTGGATAATGATACTGCTTTTAGCCAGAGGGACGACATGAGCTGTCCAAAACATACAACGGAACAAACAAACAATCAAAATAGAACATTTTATTACAAGTACAAAACACAAACGGAGAAAAGGTTCACAATCAGTGCTGAAAATGTTAATTTCTTTTGTTTTTTAACTCTTTTTTTTCTGATTGATTAAAAATGATTTCATTGCACTCCAATCCTTTTACAAAACAAAAATTAATATCACTTAAATATATATATATATATTTAATATAAAAATGAATAACTTACAGTATATTTGAAGATAATCAAAGTATAATGATTATCTACATATACAAAAAAATAATAATTTTTGAGTATTTTGGAAATTTACAAACAATTAAGGTGCACTCAAGTGCCTAAAGCTTGGCTACATCAGTGATTATAACGAAATACATAAACAACATCAATAGACTGTATATAGTGGTAATATACAGTAGGATACCAATAGTCTCCATAACAAATATGACTACATAACAGATATGTGGGTCAAATGACTTTATGTGCTTCTTAGAATACAAAATGACATGAACACTGTATGAAACCTGTGAAATGCTCAAACGGATGAAGTCTCTGTGATGGCACACAGAGAAAATGCATTGTTTTGCACTTTAAACAAACGTCCAACCACTGAGGTGTTGTGTAACTTAACAAGTTGCTTTCACACTCTAACTGATGTATATTCTGCACTTTTGTCAACAAACTTGCTGCCGGACACAAGCTGGAACTGCAGCACACTTGAGCTTATAAGCTGCTGACACTGTCAGTGTGGGGGGTTTCCCTCTGAGGTCAAAAGCTTTGATCCTTATATCAGAGCATTCCTGTGAAGGCAGAGCACACAGCATGGTGGTGTGATGCCCGTAGCACCAAAGTGAGCAGCTATGAGGAGTTGTGATGGTAGTAATGTCCTTTATTACCACACTGTCAGCTGTAAACTGGTATAGTAAAAACCAAATGTGTTTCTAGCACCACGCACTGTACAGTCTGCGCTGTTAAAAGGACCCATTTTACATTTAAATATATTGCATCAGTTAAAATAGTCTTTGCAGTTTTGGTATAAAACAAATTAATTTACAGATTATTTACAAGTAATCAAAGCTAAAATTTTACGCTGCCTTTAAATGCATGTTTCTGTCTTTAAATAAGCCCATATATACAAATTAGCGTGGTCCACGACTATTGTGCAAATCCTTACTGGATTAAAATAATGTCTCTGTGGTACTGTAGGTTGTCAGCTTATGTTGAGAGGAAACATTTTTTTATTTGAACCAGTGCAGGTAGTTTGTCTTGAGAGCGGGGAAGCACATGTTGTTGCTGCACGAGCCCCCGTAGCTGGGAGGGCATGCGGAGCAGGGTACGCCTACTTTGTAGGGAGCCTCTCCGATCCAGTTACCCCTGGAAGACAGTAACATCTAGTGTGAATGAACCACAAGAATAACCACAGAGCTAGAAATGAAGTAGCAGTTGCCTAACCGATAGATTTTCAGCCATTTTTTCAGTCATTCTGTGGTCTTCATTAGCAGAAAGACTACCTTGTGTAGAAGATCTTTGGGTATATGACTGAAACATTGAGTACGATCCCTAAATGGAAATGGGTGTGAAATTGTTTTTTTACAAGTGTAAAAAACATAAGGTTCAGATTTCAGTGACTATTTCATATTCCAGAGCCAGCTGGCATCATGCACAGAACTTCTCGTTGTAGACCGTGACAACAGTGACCTCTGCGGGACCGTGTAAAGCACAAGAGCACGGAGACCACATTCCCAGTTAGCAAGCTAAAAGTGGGTCATGAGCCAGTTCTTCTCACACGTATGTCTCAAACTAGTGAGATTAAAAAACCTTGGGTCACAAGTCAGTCACAAGTCTGAGTGTTCTTTGATTCTCTGAAATATTTAGAGACTTTTTCTTTTGGTTCGTGGCCCTGTGGTGCTTTGGTGCTCCTACCATAATGGGTGGCATTTCGCAGCTAAGCACAGAACAGAGCAAACTGTGTCAGGATTAAGCCTGTCGTCAGCGTGTCGTCATCAGGTTAACAAGTTCATTAGAATTAAAAGGTTTCCTTTCAGCGTGAAAGCTACACTACGTGAGATTGTGTAACATGAACCACACATTTAACTGTCAGGTTAGCAAGTACACTTACTTAGGAGAGTAGTTGCAAACTAAATATGTCGCCCTCTTCCACACCGCACCCCACACATTCATGTTGTGGCACGTGTGCACGGCACAGCCGACTTTGTTGGATGTTGCCCAGACCATCTGCAAATCAAAAAAAGAACAGCTGTTACTTGAAGTCCCCCCAGCAGCATTTCTACTGTAGCCTGAGTAAGTGTGCAACTACTACCTGTGTGTAATGGGTACACATGGGTCCGTAGCATCTGAGTGGGCACCGAGGGTTGCAGTCACGGGGGTAGGGGAAGGCGTAATCTTTCACCTCATCATACCACGGCTTCACCAGCTGAAGAATGGATCGATATCTGTGAACAGAACACTTAAAGTTCAGCAAGACCCCTATTATCAGTTGTAACTTGTGTCATTATAATTCTTTCAAGCAAATGGGAGATCACAGCATTTGCAATTACTAGCAGCAGGTGAAATGATGGGAAAATTATGAAAATCTGTTATTTTGTTTGGCAAATTGGAAGAAGATTAAAGAACTGTTCACTATAGCCCTGATCTAGTTTTGTCCAGGTATGTGTGAAGATATTTTAGTTTCCTCCATCGGCTGACATCTCATATCTTAAACCCTTTAGTTTTCCAGTTTAGTCACTCACCTCGGTATGACTATAATAACTGACTTTCAATGTTTTCCATGGTTTTCAATGGTTCAGTGCCACATAAACAGGAATCGTGAATAAAGCACCTTGATATATTGTGATATATATAAGTGTCAGTATAATGATTTTAAAAATCTTCTTCTTCACATTGAGTTTTAGATGTGTTTGTATCCTATACACTAAGATACTGGCAAAACAAAAAAGTAAAAAAACAAAACAAAAAGGGTTTTAACCAATTTTTGTGGCTCCACAAGAAACATCAGTTTCCTTGTTTTGTTTTTTTTAGAGATGTATTAATGAGTTCAGAAGGACATGTTCAAATAGCCTGTACTCCATGTGGCTCCTCAATAAAATCTAAAAGTAGGAACACATGAAGGTGCCCTCTGTTTCCAAATGGAAAATCAAGACCCAGTAAAAGGGACAGGCTTTTGTCCTCATGGGTCATGGCTGAAAGCAAGGTTTTTGTGTTTATTTGAAGGGTCACAGGAGCATTCCTTAGCCAGTCACCAGGTCACAGTGGAAAAACCTTAAGAGGAAAGAAGAAGGGGGCAACAAGGCAACGACCGTGACTGCTGAGAGAGGGTCAGCAGATGTCAGGGAAGGGGGGGGAGTCAAAGGTCACCTACCGTCCTGTCCTGACTGAGAGGTTTTGACCCAGGAACCTGAGGAGGTGAGGCGGCCCATGCTCCCACAGGCAGGCATGAGCCCAGTCCTCGGCCGTCTTTGCCAGTGTGTCGTCCCACACCTAAAAACACACAGAGATTAGGTGGAAGCAAGAAAACCCATTACATAACCAAGGGGAAAATGTCAGCACAAGATCTTCATTTAGCAGCGATATGAGATAAGAGTTGGCACACTGAGCTATTAGCAATGTTGCAGGCGTTGCTATGGCAAAACCCAAAAATCATCCACTGAATTAGTTGCATAAGAGGAGACACTTTGTTTCCTAGTCACCCTTACTGAGTGACCCTTTCAAGGAATACATTTTTATTATAATGAATGAAGGCTGAACAGCTTGTTGTACACTTGTACACAAGGGTGCCATTAGGAATGGATCATGACTGCAGCCCTTTAACAAAAAGTAGTCGAATGATTTTATAGAGGAAAAGGACAACACTAATAATATTTTACTGGTAACACAACGTAAGAGCTGGAAATGGCAGTTTTAAATCGAAACACATCAGTCTAAGAGCTTATGTTTGTCAGCCAAAATAGCATAAGTCCAAATGAACAAAATGCAAGCATCAAGTCTGTTTTTGGACTTGAAACTCTTTAACATCTAACAGGTCAACTAGATGTTTCCATTACAGCAGGCTTCTGGTATCATACATGACCCCTCTTCTTTTGGAAGTGACTACCTTGGTGGTCTGCTGCAGCATGATCTGCTGAACAGCTGATGATGTCAAGTAGACCCTAAAAACGCTTCCTAAATAAAGTAGTGCGACTATTAAAATGAGCTAGCATTACTTTCATAGCTCTTATATTTGATTGGTGCATGTTGGAGGTGAAATATCCTGTTCATGGAACACATGGCTGCAGTAAAATCGTGCAATAAATATATGTATATATATTTTTAAATCAAAATCTGTCACCTACCATGTATTCCATATTGGATGCCGGAGGAAACACTTTGCCTCTCACTTTGTTGTGGTAATCAAGAATTGCGAGCATGTCGTTCTGACTAATGTACCGCTTCCTCCTGGTTTTTGAAAAAGTCACAGCGTCTGTTCCAAAGTCGAGCGCTGCGCCAAGGCTGGTGATATTGGCGGCTGGCGGCGACGTGGACACAACAGGAATAGTCACTGCCAGTGCACTTGCTCCGCAAGATATGCACAAGAGTACTAAGTCTAAGGTAAATAGCTGAGGTTTCATGTTTGCTCTTTAGCCAACCGCAGAAGAGAATATCCCACGTCCTGGATGACTCTGAAAAATTAAAAAAGAAAGAGAGAGAGAGAGAAAGAGAGAGGCTTAATGGATTGTCGTTTAAAAATGCGATGCACTACAATCCAGGTACGCTTACATCAAGTTTAAAACCTCCCTCTTTGTAACAATACAGTACAGCAACACCGGTCGCATTCCTCTTACTTTTCCTTGCGCGGCGGTACCTTGTCCCTGCGTTGCCAAGGCGGTATCACCTCTAAGCCTCTGTGAGGGATTGGAGAGAGGGAGGGCTGCAAGTGGGTAGTTTTTGCGCTTTGCGAACTTTGTGAGTGTTTCAGGAGAAGTCCGTTTTTTCGGGCTTATATATGGTAATGGGGAATGCAGGAAGTGAGGAGGTAGACGAGCCCCTCCTTGACACCTGAAACAGAACATCACCGAGAGGCGTTGTGTTTGTTTCCCCTTAATCCTTTCCCTGTAAAATTTGCCTAATTTCCTAAAAGCGTTAATAAAGTAAAACGACAAGGAAAAATAAGCTGTGGCACAGGTCTTTATCATGCTTTAATGTGATTCATCTACAGATTTATTGGAGGGGGAGGAGGTTATCTTACTAATGCTGAGTAAATGGACTGGACTAGAGGGTTAAGTTGTTCTTAATAACCAAACTTTAGCTCCACATTCAGGTGACAGATTTGCACTTGCACTTGCCGCATGCGCCACTGATCACATATTCAGCACAAACGCAGCAGTTTTATCAGTGAAATCAGTGTGAGAGCTGGGTCTCGTCCTATCAGCCTTCTTTGTGATAATCATCATACTATAAAGATTACACTTGTTCAGAGTGTGCCTCCAGCTATGTGTTTTGCAGTGCAGATTCTGTGCCAAGAGAGAGGAAGAAAAAAAACCTTCTGCAGGTCATCATTTTCATTGGCAGCTGGTGAACAAATTAAAGCAACGTGACGCAGGAACACTTTTTCTCCCCCTTCTCACTCTCTTTCTCTCCTCCTCATCTGCAGTCGGTAACTGGTGCTTTCCCCAAAAAAAATCTTCTTGGAAGTGATGTCCTTTTCAGGTGGTGCAGTTGGTGAATAGTTGGTTGCCGTGCAACCCGCTTGAATATATCATTCAAGCGGGTTGCACGGCAAAGACTTTCTCCTTCATTTCACTCCATCCATACATTTCTGCTCCTACTCTCCACTGCTGTGGTTTCACTGGGATGGAAAATCATCAGAGTAAGAGGGGGAATCATGACAGATTAGTTTAATTACTTCCCAGCACAGATCCAGCACTTTGTTTAATACTCAGATGCGAACCAAGTTTTTTTTTTCTCAGAAATAAGTCAGATTTTTAAAAAAGGCTATGACAGGTTTTGAGATGTGAGATTGACTCTAGTAACTCAATGAGACCTGTACTTACCTTTGAGTGAACTGTAGAAGCAAGTCAAAGACGAAAAAGTACATTTAACCCCAAAAATATTTTTCATGCACATATTTTAAAGCCATTGTGTTGGAATTATATCAGTCTACATATAATTCTATTTAGCCAATTCAGTACCTTTTGCGATAAAATGTAATTAGGTTTCCTTTTTTCCTGTTGTGACTCTGCACCATCACATCTGCTCAGTATTTTGACTCATCCTCTCATATGGTATCAATAGTCAGGCCACTCTCCAGCCAGCTCAGCCCACCGGCCAAAGATTCTAATCAACACAGTGCTGAGATCTTATCCTCGGGTTTATTGCGATATTATAATCCATATCATCAGATTAGCTTAAGATACACCTGCTTCGCTGAATTTCACACTGTTTAATCAGCTGTGTGCCTCTGATCCAAGACTAAATAACAGAGTCAAAAGTTCAGTTTCAATGTGCAAATGCTGGCAACGGGATTGAATAGAATACTGTACTTCTACAGTAAGTCTATCTCCCATGCTCTGTTTCCCATACAAGCACACACACACACTGCAAACACACACACACACATACACACACAACTCCTTCATGTGCAGCTCCTCAAGGCCCCAGATGATATTCCCTCAGTCTCAGAGTGCTGGTCCTTGTTTGCGCAGTGAACCCAGTGACTTCGAAAGAGGTTGAAGTATATTATCATATTATCAGTAGAGTAATTGGGGCATTATTTGGGGTACATGCTTCTTCAAGGGGGCCTGGGTATGTTTTGAAAAGGCATTCTTTTTTAGACAGCACATTTATTTACCTACAACATATTGTTCCAAGTTTCCCTCATGCTTTTCCCCCTCTCCAGAGGCCTCCTGAATCCTAGAGCTGATGCCAGTACAGCAGAGGGGATGAGGTGCACTAGTGAGGAAAAGGGAAAGCAACAAAGAATAGCCTGCAGACCATAGAAAGACTCAACAAGTGTTTCATTACGTTTCTAGATGGCAGAAGGTTTCAAAACTCAAGTACAGAGAGGAAAATGAGTAAATAGAATTTGCATGAATAGTGCAGAGCCTCACGTACAACTATGCACTCTCTGTTCATAAAAGTTTAAGCAAATTAGTCTTGTTGGACACTTTTTGACCCATGGTCTGGAGTACATCGCTCTGACTTGGACAGTTCAATAAGTAACACAATCTCCTGAGGATGCCTCTTTGCTCTGTCCATGATTCCAGCAATCAAAGCACATGCTGTAGACTCCAGCTCAGCTGTGCACTCCACCCAAGGTTATTGTTACTTCGCTGGCAGAATCCACCATGCATGGGAAAGAGATCGGCAGCATGTGAATGGATGTATGAAAAAGAGGCATAATGACTTAAAAGACCAACACTTTTCAGAGCAGTTTGAAAAGCTTTATAGCAGTGCCTATGTGTATAATTTTTTAACAGGGCTATCCTGAGAGTTTACATTTGGGTAAGGAGTTACGCTCTTAACTCTTAAATGTAATGTGAATTATGGCTCGAAAAATATGCATATTTGCTTTCTTTCCCATAGTTAGATTCAAAGATTAATTCTACCTTTCATTTCTGTTTCGATATAGAGCTGTGTAACAGATAGCACAAAGTGGGTTGGATAAGCATAGAATCAACAAAGCAATAAATTCAGATTAATATCAAAATGTATATAATGTTTGTTTATTTAATGAAAAAAAAAAAAAGCAAAAATGTCGATGTCTCATAAGCGGGACTAACTGAGCTGTCCTCTCCCAGCTCATAGGTTATCATCTTAAAATTCCCAACTTTACAGCATTAAAAGCATTAAAGCATATTACAAAAAAGGTTTTGACCTCTCTGGATAGTTTCTCACATCATGAGAGCTCTACATGGGTGATTAATTTTTAATAACTTATACCAGCACAGGCAGTATTTGTGTCTGCTAAGACCAAGTCGCCAAACTCACATTAGCTCCTTTTGAAACTTTTAAATGGGCATATCTGCCTAATATCATGGCTTTGTTTGGTAAATAACATCCAAGAAATTGGTGCTTCTGTTTGCTCAGCCTGTTTCATAGCACTACTTAGTAGTTATGTGTCTGTGCAGTTTGTGAATGTAGCTCGCTAACCTAGCTAGCTAGCTGGAGGTAGCTGATGACTTAAGTCTGCACCTTCTTCAAATATGGTAACTTCTGGATTGAGAATACAAGCAGAGAGTAGGGATGGGTACCGGTATCCGGTGCCATCATGGAACCGGTTCTTACATAAACGGTAGTAACCAGACCGAAAAGCAGCGCACATTTCGGTGCTTTATTTCGGTGCTTTTTTTTCCTGAGATGTCACACACTTTGGATTCTAGCCAATCATTTTACCTTTCTGAGGATAGTAGGCGGGCCCAGGTATGAACGTTCTTTTAGAGCAGAGCTACAGATTAAAAATGCCCAAAGCGAAGCGGTCAAATTCTGGCTGTACTTCACAGCAAAAGATGCAAACTCAACAGCCTGCAACAAGTGCTTTAAGGTGATACTGTGCAAAGGAGGCAACACCTCAAATCCGATGAAACACCTGGCGACGCATAGCATTTTTTTTAAAGCCGAGAAATATAGCTTGCTGCGAGACCTCACACCGTGCACATCTACTACGGGTGGGTTGCCTGTTATCGGACCCGGAGTTAGCAACATCCCCCAAAAACCCGAAAAGTATATTCCTGGCCCCTAGCCCTGCCAGTGTAGCAGAAATGATGACGGATGATGATGATGGCAGCAGCAGCCGTTCTTCTCTGCGTGAGTAGCTTAATGTTGTTCGTGTGTAAGCTAACCACGTTATCGAATTAATGCATGTAAGGTGTACTAGCAAACACCGTCGTAGTTACATGCGGCTGTCCTCTTGTTTGATGGCAGATACTCCCTTCACCCTGGCCAAAAAGGCTAAAATGACCAAAGAAAAAGTGGAAAACAGCTAAACATGAGAGGTTTTTGGACCAATTTTGTGTTCTCCACCGGCACCGTTTCAAAAGTACCGGTTTGGTACTGGTATCGGATATAACCTAAACGATACCCATCCCTAGCAGAGAGTAACACTGAGGATTTAAATTTTAGAGTCCAGAACCAATAGGTGACCTAACATTGGTTATATCTAAGATTTATACAGTCTATGTTCTCAGTTTATGGGCATCATGCTAACCTAAGTTAACAATCTGCAAGCTCTCGCCTCGATATCAAATTCCTCAGAAAGTCAAGTTATTCGTTTCAATCAACCATGTAGACTAATACATGTGACTGAATCCCAAACTCATATTAAAACCTCTATACATGAGTTTTATAAAAGAAACTTTAAACAAACCAACAACTTTATGCTAAACATTACCTTTTTGCCATTGGGGCAGCACAAGGGTGGGGAAGTTGTGATGTCATGAGTTGGTTTTTGTTGGCTATGGGGCAGAAAGAAATAGTGACATTTCAAGACTAGTTTACATTGGTAAAGAGCCCAGCCTCTAACTCCAAGCTGTCTCGGCTGCTTTCTTCCACACACAGCTGTTAAACATTGTATCAGTGGAATATACAGTTACATAGCAAATAGTGTACGTTTCACACAGTCTGGTACCTTTAACAGCAGTTGTTACAGTGAAAGAAAATCCCAAAGGGTGAGAAAACTTCAACCCAGTGTCCTCATCAGAAGTTCAGGGGTGGATTATTACTCCTTTGCTGTCCAAAGGGAAACAAGCACAGTAATTAAGTCAATAAATAATTCAGTCTTCTGTTCAGAGAGCCCTTACTGAGCTCTAGTTTGATTTTAAATTAAATTCCTGCTTTGTTTAGACTGTGTATACATCGTGGTGTTATAATATCACTGATAAAGTAACTTTTTATGGTGTCTAACCCACAAGAGGATTGTTGCAGTGCTAGTTGGTACTGAAACCACTTATTTCTGAGCGATAACCCAAT